ATCTTTCTAACCACAATGCTATGAAACTAGAAATAACTACAAGAAAAAAAACTAGGAAAGTCACAAATATGTGGAGATTAAACAACGTGCTACTGAACAACCACTGGATCAATGAAGAAATCAAAGGAGAAAGAAAAAAATACCTGGAGACAAATGAAAATGAAAACACAACATACCAATTCTTGTAAGATTCAGGAAAAGCAGTACAAAGAGGGAAATCATACCAAAACAAGCCTATCTCAATAAACAAGAAAAATCTCAAATAAATGAACTATAACTAAAAGAACTAGAAAAAGAAGAACAAACAAATTCCAAAGTCAATAAAACAGGGAAATAATAAAAATCATAGCTGAAATATAGACTAAAAAAACAATAGAGGGGCTGGCCTGGTGGCATAGTGGTTAAGCTTGCATGTTCTGCTTTGATGGCCCAGGGTTCACCAGTTTGGATCCTGGGTGCTGACCTACACCCTGCTCGTCAAGCCATGCTGTGGCAGGTGTCCCACATACAAAGTAGAGGAAGATGGGCATGGATGTTAGCTCAGGGCCAGTCTTCCTCAGCAAGGAGAAGAGGGTTGGCAGCACATGTTAGCTCAAGGCTAATCTTCCTCAGGAAAAAAAAAAAAAAAAAAAAAGAAAGGATCAATGAAATTAAGAGCTGGCTCTCTAAGAAGATAAACAAAATTGACAAGCCATTAGCCAAACTTGCTAAGAAAAAAAGACTCAAACAAAATTAGAAAAGAAAGGAGAAATTACAAGGGAAAATACAGATGTATAAAAGATTTTAAGAGAATGCTATGAAAAGCAGTATGGCAACAAATTGGATAACCTAGCAGAAATGGATAAATTCTTAGAAGCATACAACCCACCAAAACTGAATTAAGAAGAAACAGAGAATGTGAATGAATGTATCACAAGTAAAGAGATTGAAACAGTAATCAAAATCCTCCACCAAAACAAAAGTCCAGGACTAGATGGCTTTTGTGGTGAATTCTATGAAACGTTCACTGAAGATTTAATACCTGTGCTTCTCAAACTATTCCAAAACTTGGAAGACAATAGGATGCCTCCTTATCTCATTCTGTGAGGCCAACATTACCCTGAAAACAAAACCAGCCAAGAACACTACAAAAAAGGAAATTACAGGCCAATATCGCTGATGAACATACATGCAAAAATCTTCAACAAAATATTAGCAAAATGAATACAGCAATAGACTAAGAGGATCATACACCATGAGCAAGTGGGATTTACTCTGGGGATGCAGGGATGGTTCAACACCAAAAAATCAATCAATGTGATACAGCACATTAACAAAATGAGGAATAAAAATCACATGATCACCTCAATAGATGCATAGAAAACATCTGACAACATCTATTTATAATAAAAACTCTCAATAAAATGGGTATGGGAGGAAATCACCTCCACACGTTAAAGGCCATATATGAGAAACCCGCAGCCAGCATCATACTTAATAGTGAAAATCTGAAAGCCATTCCTCTGAGAACAGGAAGAAGACAAGGGTGCCCACTGTCACCACTCATCTTCAACATAGCACTGGAAGTTTTTGCCAGAACAAACAGGCAAGAAACAATAAAAGTCACCGAAATTGGAAAGGAAGTAAAACTCTCACCATTTGTGGATAACATGATTCTATTTATAGAAGCCCCTAAAGGATCCAAGAGAAAACTATTAGAAATAATCAACTACAGCAAAGTTGCAGGATACAAGATCAACATATAAAAATCAGCTGCATTTTTATATACTAACAACAAACTACCAGAAAGAAAAGAGTACAATCCTATTTAAAAATGCAACAAGAGGCTGGCCTGGTGGCAGAGCGGTTAAGTTTGCAGGCTGTTTCAGCAGCCCAGGGTCCGCCGGTTCTGATCCTGGTCATGGACCTACCCACAACTTACCAAGCCATGCTGTGGCAGTAGTCCAACATACAAAGTAGAGGAAGATGGGCACAGATGTTAGATCAGGGCCAATCTTCCTCAGCAAAAACAAAGGGGGAGTGGCAGTAGATCTTACCTCAGGGCTAATCCTCCTCAAAAAAAAAAAAAACCAGAAGATGAAATCAATAATTCAAAGAGACTTATGCACCCCTATATTCACTGCAGCATTATTCACAATAGCCAAGACTTGGAAAAAACCCAAGTGTCCAGCCATGGATGAATAAATATTTGATATATATATAATAAAATACTCCTCAGCCATCAAAAAGCCACAAAATAGTGTCATTTCTCACAACACGGATGGACTCTGAGAATATCGTGCCAAGCAAAATAAGCCAGAGAAAGACAAACACTGGGGCGGGCCCCACAGGTGAGTGGTTAAGCTCACGCACTCTGCTCTGGTGGCCTGGGGTTCGCGAGTTTGGATCCTGGGTGCAGACCTAGCACTGCTCATCAGGCCACACTGAGGCAGCATCCCACACAGCAGAGCCAGAAGGACCTACAACTAGAATATACAACCATGTACTCGGGTCTTCAGGAAGAAGAAGAAAAAAACACATTGGCAACAGATGTCAGCTCAGGTGCTAATCTTTGAAAAAAAAAAGACAAACACCATATGCTTTAACTCACGTGTGGAAGACAAACACACAGATAGGGAGAACAGAACAGCCGTTACCAGATGGGAAGAGGGTGGGGGAAGGCAAAAGGGTCAGAGCGGCACAAATGTATGGTGATGGCTAGCAACTAGACTATTGGTGGTAAACACAATGCAGTCTATACAGAAACTGATATGTAATAAAGTACACCCGAAATTTACACAATGCTATAAAACTTCTGTCAGTAATATAATTTTTAAAAAATTTGTCCAAATTGGATCTTCAAATTCTCTAAGGTTTGAGACTTTTCAAAAGTAGAATGTGGAAAAAAGTACACTTAGTCTAAACACCCTGTGACTGGTAAACTGAATTATTCCAGAACGAGTATAATAAAGCCTCCACCCTCTTCTCCTGGAGGCCACTGTGCTGAAGCTCTGTGCAGATGCCTAGGACGTTTGAAAAGACAGGTGAGTCTTCTCGATTGTCTTTAGTAGAAAGACTTGTCTACATACGATTACATTTATATACAGAAACATGCACATCATAGACATGTAAGAAGGTACCTTTCTACCTGAATGTAATGTGTCAAAAATAAATGAAGGACCCAAAAAGACACCACCAAATTCCCACATAAAATATTCTTTTGCATATAAAAGTAAACAGAGGCCCTCTTGAACCAACATTTAGCCAGTGCCCCCCAGAATAGGTCAGACTTGCCAAACCATGAGGATGGGAGGACGTGGGGGCTGAGTCAATGTCACTCCAACAATGGAAATTCTTTTCTGGAGACAAGTCACAAAGGTTACTTAGAAGGCTTTCAAAGAGGGAACTCAGTGGATGAAAAGCCCCTGGGCATGTGCCCTCAGCATTTTACAGCTCAAATCTTTGTGGGGAATGAACGCCTGAACAGGCTGTTGGACCTGGCTGTGCTGGAAAGCCCCAGGGCCCCAGCAGAAGCCAGCAGCACACACCAGGACTGTGTAAACAGGTCCCTCAGTGGTCTGGACCAAACGTGCCCTTTGACTTTCACTTCAACCCCGATATCATCCCGTTTCTTCAGACTTCACCAAAGCCGGGCTGGGCTGGACCACCACCTATGTGGAAGTCTCCAGGATATCGGGAACAGGCGTGAGAAAATCTCCAAAGAACAAGTGACCACACTTTCGCTTCCTGCCTGTGGATGGCAGAGCTCTGAGGCTCAGTCTGTCCATCAAAATAGACCACCTCAGACTGAGAAATTCTAGTTAACAACTGTGTGGGTAGATATGGGCTGAGGTTGGCTCAGTGCCGGGCTGGAGGCACAAACAGCCCCGACAATGTTGAGTCTAGACCCAGAGCTCTAGGCAGGGCTACGGGTCGAGGGCAGGGCCCTCACACGGGGTGGGGGTTGAACCTGGGAATGTTCATCAAATGTTCATCGCCTTCCTAGCGCCCTTACAAAGGATCTCCCATGATATGCCAGCCAATCCATGAAATAGTCTATTTCCTCCATTCAGCCTTATCCTTAGGTCTTTATTGCCCATTTTTATTTTATGCGTATTGGACACCACATTAAAATCTGTTCATTCCTTTGTGTTTTTAACGTAACAACGTTTTCTCTAAGTCTTTCAGCTTTTCTGTTTTTCAAATAACTGCTCTCATTTTTCTGATTTTACTGTATAGCCCAAGGCCTCCATACTAGGTAGTGAAATCGCACCCATACCAGAAATCCTTCACTTAGGACGGGTTCTAAAGTTTCTCTCATAACCATGTTTGCCATGGATTTCAGTGGGTGGCCCAAATGGAGTTAATACAGATCTTTTTAAATCCTGATTTAATAAAACACTTTATCAAGAATTGCTTAAGGATGTTATCATATGTAATTTATGCATCTATTGAATTGCTATGTTTTGCTATGTTAACGTTCAATCTGTTGCTGTACAAAATGTTAAATGTCTAGGTAACCAAAGGAATCTGTTTTTTAAAAATAATTTCTGGATTTCATCTCTTGCTTGAAAACATCTCTTGAAACTGTCTATTACATGCAAACTTAATTTAATTCTAAAACTTACTACTTCTAAAGACATTTGAATCTCTAATCCTCATTGAGTGTATTTCAGCCCAGGGTGTGGGGTAGTGGATCCAACTTTATTTCCTCCAAAAAGAAAATTGTTGCAGTAGTACTTAGTGATAAAATATCCTTGACTTAACGACTTGAAATTCCACATTAAACACTGTATTCCTACATGTACCTGTATTAGTATTGAGACTGTCCTGCATAGTAATATATTTGCCTATGCCCATATCATACCCTTTGATTATAATAGTTTTATATGAAGTTTTAATATTTAGTGGTAAAAACAATATGGAAGCTAACATTTGCTGCATCTTACCATGCTAGATGCCTCATAGACAACAGGTGTGTTATGCTCATAACCTCCAAATGGTGTAGGCACTATCACAAATTTCCCTTTTGTTTCTTGAAACAGCTTTATTGATATAATTCACATAGCATACAATTCATCCATTTGTATAACTCAACACTGTTTAGTAAATGTAGAGGCTTTCAGAATGCACAGAAGTTTTAGAATATTTTCATCACTTCCACTGCAGGCGTTGGCAGTGAAAATCCCCATTTGCCTTCTCACTTTACAGGCGAACACAAATCTCCTGTCTCAATAGATTCAGATTTTCTAGACACTTCATATACATGGAATCATACAATTTTTAATCAATAGCTTTTTTCCACTTAGAATATTTTTAAAGACTCACTGTGTTGTAGCATATATGGCTCACATCATCTTGGCCTTTGGAGTGTGTTCACATGAATATGCCCATTTCTCAGCCACTGTCCAACAAAAGCTGGGACCAAATCTGCTCCATTTCTCTTGCACAGCCCTTATTGAGGACGCTGCCACTATAACAGTGCAGGCAGCAGGATAAGGCTAATCTGCAGGAGTGACCTCAAACACTACCCACAAGCTCTTAGACTGTGGCAACAGTGACAAATTCTGATAGGACCAAAAGGTCTTCTTACAATCAGGATCTCATCTGAGGTCAGTCCACGACCTTACACTACATACAAAAGGTTAAAAATAATCAGCTGATCTTTGGTGTTGTTGCCAATAATTAAAAGGACAACAGAGGGATTGAATGACAAAATACCTACCCCAGGTGAACCACAACATGACATACTCCTCCAAACACACAAACATGTAACACAAACATAACACACAATTCTTGTTCGGGACTCATTAAGCTTGATTTAGGTTCTCATACAGTGCTTCAAGTCACAAGAAGGTGTCATCAAGCACCTGCATGCCTGATGGCCATACCTGACACAGCCAAGGTTGCTTGAGCATCCAAACCATGTGAACGTGTATCACTGAAGGTGAAATGATATTGTGCTGCTCTGTCTACAACCAGAGTTCACACTGAGGCGATGCCCTCCCAAAAAGGGCCTGCAGCACAGCAGGTTATCCAGACCACGTATATTCACATGAGTTTTTCTATTTCCACAGCCCATGGATCAAATGACAAACATAGAAGCAGGTCCTATCACCAGTAACAGTTGCTTGAGGCAGTCAAATGAGATCATTATTTTGCCATGCTGTGGTGGGGTATGCTGTGAAAGAGAACATTCCTGATTCTCACCATCATCCTGTACAGCTTGAGGTTAAAAGTCCTCCCCAGGTAGTAGGGTTGCTGTTCACGCATAAAGATCATGAGATCAGGGTATCCCATATTTTAAGTGTTACCTCAGTTCTCTGCCAACTACACCATGCTTGAAACTGACTTTCTATCTGAAAGGATCTCATGTGAGAGGGAAAAGATAATTTTATAAAATTTAGAGATGTCTTTTTACCACCAAATACAGTGGCCAGCATGACTCCCCCTAAATGAGTTCAGTGAGCACTCCACACAGTCAAGCAGTCACTGCCTTCACAATGTAAGACCATGTCAATCCAACAAGAGAGATGAGGTAGTTAGAAGAGGATTAGATGTGAATTGAGTAGACCAACTTTTGACCAGGGTGCATCTTGGAATGTGGGGGAACTAGACTGGCCTATCAGCAGAAAGAAAGAGACATCATGCACAAGAATGGTTAGGGCTAATCACAAAGGCTTAAAATAGATCTAGAGAACCACCCAGGATGCTATGCATCTCAGAAGACCCTAAGATTCACACACTCAGGGTAGCACTTCCCATATTCCCTGTACTCACTTCCTGTTGACTGTGGATCACCACGTTTACTAAAGATGAGAAATGATACAATGGAAAATAACGACTCTACTACATTTCTTACATTCGTAAAGCTTTTCTCCAAAGTGAAATCACAAGTGAACACCGTCAGAACAATTTTCCCACCTATCAGTTGGATTTGTCTCCACTGTGAGATCTCTCACATGTAAGAAATACATATTTCACTGAGGAAATAGGGAACGGCTTTCCATGTTTCTTAATACTATGGCTTCACTGTTAGTCCTCACATGCTGGGCTGTGAGGAGAATCTCATGGCTTTCCTTCATTTCTTAATTGGAAAGCATCTCTGCAGTGCGGTCCTTTCATATCTTTGGAGTGAATAAGGACTCCTGAGGGTTTTACCACATTCCTTACGCTAATACAGTTTCTCTCCAGGGGATTTCCTTCAAAACACCAGAACTAACTGGGAAACTGAAGGATTTCCAACATTCCTTACATTTCTAAGGTTTCTCTCCAGTGTGAGTACACTTCTGAATCATCAAGTACCAAGAACTGGTAAATATTTTCCTACACACATGACACTCTAAAGGGCTTATGTCTAGTATGGGTCTAAAATGTTTATCAAGATCTGAGGAACTATCAAAGGCTTTCCTATATATGTCATATTTAAAGGGCTTCTCTACACTGTGAGCTTTTATGTGGTCAATACAGCCTGACGATTTAGTGAAGGCTTTCCCAAATTCCTTATGTTAATAGGGTTTTTCTCCAGTATGAGTTTGCTTGTGAATGCTGTGGTGACAACATTGAAAGCCCTTTCCACATTCCTTACTTTTACAGGGTTTCTCTCCAGTGTGAGCACGCTTGTGAATGATTACATATGAAGCCCTAGCAAATTTTTTCCCACAGACATTACAACCAAAACGCTTTTCTCCAGTATGAACTCTCAAATGTTCACCAAGATTTGAGGACATAGCAAAGGCTTTCCCACATTTGTCACATTTAAAAGGCTTCTCTCCAGTGTGAGTTCTTCTATGGACAGTAAGGGATTCATATCGAGTGAAGGCTTTCCCACATTTTTCACATTTAAACGGCTTCTCTCCAGTGTGAGTTCTTCCATGGCGAATAAGGCATGCATATCGAGCGAAGGCTTTCCCACATTCCTTACATTCATAGGGTTTCTCTCCAGTGTGAGTTCTCATGTGAATGTTAAGATGCACAGGACGTGTAAAGCCTTTGCCACATTTGTTACATTCATAGGGTTTCTGTCTGGTGTGAGTTTGCTTGTGACTGTCAAGGTCTATAGAAGAACTGAACTCTTCCCCACATTCCTTACATTTATAGGGATTCCCTCCAGTGTGAGTACGCTTGTGAATGATTAAGTATGAAGATCTGGTAAATCTTTTTTCACATATATTACACTCAAAACACTTCTCACCAGTGTGAGTTCTAAAATGTTTACTATGACTTGAGGAAGAAGCAAAGGCTTTCCCACATTTGCCACATTTAAAAGGCTTCTCTCCAGCGTGAGTTCTTCTATGGTCAATAAGGCACGCATATCGAGCGAAGGCTTTTCCACATTTCTTACATTCATAAGGTTTCTCTCCAGAGTGAGTTCTTCCATGGCGAATAAGGCATGCATATCGAGCGAAGGCTTTCCCACATTCCTTACATTCATAGGGTTTCTCTCCAGTGTGAGTTCTCATGTGAATGTTAAGATGCACGGGACGTGTAAAGCCTTTGCCACATTTGTTACATTCATAGGGTTTCTCTCTGGTGTGCGTTTGCTTGTGACTGTCAAGGTCTACAGAACTGAAATCTCCCCCATATTCCTTACCTTTATAGGGATTCCCTCCAGTGTGAGTACGCTTGTGAATGATTAAGTATGAAGATCTGGTAAATCTTTTTTCACATATATTACACTCAAAATGCTTCTCACCAGTGTGAGTTCTAAAATGTTTACTACGATTTGAGGAAGAGGAAAAGGCTTTCCCACATTTGCCACATTTAAAAGGCTTCTCTCCAGTGTGATTTTTTCTATGGACAGTAAGGGACTCATATTGAGCGAAGGCCTTCCCACATTCCTTACACTTAAAGGGTTTTATTCCAGTATGAATATGAATGTGAGAGTTCAGGTATGAGAAACTTTTAAAGGATTTTCCACATTCATTACATTCATAATGACTATTACCAGTGTGAGTTTGTATATGTACACCAACACTTGTGGAGTGAATAAAAGATCTCCCATATTCCTTCCTTTCATGGAGTTTTTCTCCATTGTGAGTTCTCATTTGGGCCCAAAGGTAAGAGTGATCAGCAAAGGCTTTTCCACCATCACTGCATTCGAAGTCTTCCCCTTGCATGCTAGCTTTCCAGTGCACAATACCTAAAGTCGGGCTGATGGCTTTTCCCAACTGATTCAACATGAAAAGCTTCTCTCCAGTAGAGGTTTTCTTCTGCAGAGTAAGGAAGCTTTTCCCATACTGATCATCATCATGAGGGTTCCCTCCATCGTGAGCTCTCCTGTGTGTCTTAAGGCATGAACACTCACTGAAGTCTTCCCCATACTGCTCACAATCATAGAGTTCCCACCCACTGGGGATTCTTTCCTGTTGATGAACAGAAGAATAATTCAAAGATTTGTCCAACTCGTTAATTTATCCTACCCATCTCAAAACAGAAACATCATGATGCTGATTTCTATCACTTCCATTAAATTCATACACTTCCTACCATGATTTCTTTCAAGTCTAATGAGGGAATCCTTCTACCAAAATGACATACCATCTAGTCTAATCTTAAAAGAGTCCTGTAAAGTTTCATGGAATTGTTTAACTCAGTATCAAGTTACATAAGTAGGAGTGAGTCCTTGAGCGAATTCGGAAGCAACAAATTTCAAGCTAGGTTTAAAATATTCTTAAATTCACCACATTCAGAATACCTCTCCAGAGACATAGCTCTCTCTCAGGTGAATGCTGCTCATCTTACACATCAATCACTTGTGCCCATGTGTGATCTAATGAAAATCTCAATCCTTTTAAAAAGTGGAAAATAAGAAATCTCTCTTCTGAAACTTACTGAGCTTACCATTTCTATCCTAGCAGATGCTTCTGCCTCAGAACTAACCTGCTGAATTGCTGAGTCTTTGGGTTTCAGTTGTATTGCCCATTCTAAAACAAAAAATAAGAAAATGTTGGAATTTATAGCAAGAAATGTACATTAAAGGAGTTAAAAACAGTAAGGATCATTTGTTTTATTTCTCAACTAAACATACTAATTAAAAGGCAAGACAGATTTTAGGTGCTTGGCTATGTCAAAAGTTTACAATGCTGGGCTGGCCCAGTGGTGCAGTGGTTAAGTTTGCATGTTCTTCAGTGGCCCGGGGTTCACCAGTTCAGATCCTGAGTGCGGACACGACACGGCTTGGCAAGCCATGCTGTGGTATGCATCCCACGTATAAAGTAGAGTAACATGGGCACAGATGTTAGCTCAGGGCCAGTCTTCCTCAGCAAAAAGAGGAGGATTGGCAGCAGTTAGCTCAGGGCTAATCTTCCTCAAAGAAGAAAAGTTTACAATATTAAGGATGTGTAGTCAAAGGTTCACTGGTTGATTAATACAATTCTATGAAAATTAAATATGATGTGGAAAAGGACAGAACATTATCAGGAAAAGAAAGTAGGAAAGCTCTGGATAAAGACCATATGCTAAATGATGAACTTAAAAAAAACAGAACAAGATGAGATGAGTGGAAATTGTGAGTAAATGTAAAGTATGAATGTATGAGAAGTTGATGATACCTCAAAGCATCAGAGACCAGTGACCTTAGCCTTCTAGAGAAAGCATGTCTTACACCTTCCTCATTGTCATTCCAAACACACTGAAATTTCCATTGATCAGGGAAGTTCTACACAATCACTCACCTTCGAGGACTCTCTCCACTGTCCCTAACTCTTCTTCTTCCAACCAAGAGATCACATTGGGTTTAAACAACAGATACCCTATTCACACGAAAAGATGTATTAACAGAAAAGCCCTGTGTACAAGATGACAAATTTCCCACAGATCAGCTCCTTTATTTTTAATGAATGTAGGAAAACTATTTCAAAAGAGATAAAAATGCAAACATCCCCTCTTTCTGTGCATCCAAGAGATCAGGTGTCTCTGGTCCCTGAAACCCACGTTCAGATATCTATATACAGATTACAAAGCATTAGGACTTTTATTGAAATAGGGAATAAAATAAGCACAAAAAGAGATGTTTGTTTTCATGGAGAAACCACTACACCCGTGGTTGTCAAACTTCGTTGTCCATCAGAATCATGTCCAGTGTTTTCATTAAAATGAAGATGTCAGGGTGCAGTGCCACAGTTTCATTCACTATGTCAAAAGTGGAGTCTGAGAATGCACATTTCTAAGAGAGTGACGGGGATGGTGTTAGTCCTAGAACCACAGTTTCACAGAAATCACACTGGATAAAAAGCCAGTAGTGTAGAGACTAGTGTTTGTTAGTTTTCATTACGTGCAGACCACATCACCAGTCATGGAACATAGTAAATAGATCATATATATCTGGTCCATAAGAGGCTACAGGAAAGATGGCAGCCTTACCTACTGCGGTAAGGTTCTTGTAGTTCTCCAGCATCACATCTCTGTATAAATTTTTCTCAGTCAGGCCCAGTAAAGTCCACTCCTCTTGGGTGAAGTGCACAGCCACATCGGCAAAGGAAACTGAGTCCTAAATCATGATACACAAGCTGGCTTCAGTAAACTAACATTTCCACCAGTGTTCACTGGGGAATGAAGATGGCAGACCAATGGGAACAGAAGGTGTCAAACTTTCTCAGCAGCTCTCCCAGGGTGCAATGGTCCTAGGTACTCTTCTCTCTAATAACACTCCTCACGGTTGACTCCAGTTATGGTTTTAACAGAATCTCTAACAAATGAACTTATCTCACCACAGCCAGGCTAAAAGCTCGTCTCATCTTAACTTCTGTCTTGCAGAACAGTCCTAAGCAAACTCTAAAGACTTTTAAAAGCTGATTAAGGAATAAATTCTTTGAGAACACTTTCCTCTTCATTACCATATCATAGCAGCCAGCTAAACAAGAAATATGCAGTTCTCATCATGAGACAATAGTAGAAAGTAATTACCGAAATACTGAGATTAGTCACAGGAACCAATATGAGAGGCTCCACTTTGGGAGGGAATTCAACAGGGACTCAGTCCTTGAGTGGCTTGATTTCTTTAAGAAACCTTGGAGACAGGTCTACCTAGAAGGAAATATGTCTAACTGGTGCATGCAATATGTCACTTTGTAGAAGGAAACACCTTGTAATTACCTGAGAACAACTTGTCAAACAGTCAGTCGCCATCCTTTCTCTACTTGTATCTTTTCCTCAGGAAGGCAGAAAATGTCCTTAGAAAGAAGACCTAGAAGAAAGAAGACATGAGGACCCAGGGATGACCATAATTCTCACATTCACCTGCCAGGAAGTCATTCCATTCTGGATTGAAATTCCCAAATATCCCTGCACACTCAAGAAACCTCACACAAATACACACCACTGCCATCAAATGTCAGAGGAGTCGTGTCTCACCTGGAGCCACAAAAGGGGACTGTGGGCCACGCTGCCCATCAGGAAAAGCATAATGGTTTGATTTTATAGGTAAGCAAACTTAAGCCCTGAGGAATGTGACTGTTCATTGTCATAATAGTGATGAATGAGACTGTGCAGCAACTCTCCCTAATGCATGTATACTGGAAAGCTGACTTAGAGAACTGCATTCTCTGGTCCACTTAGCTCCTCATAGATAAACCACCAGCATGACAGCTCAGGTCTGGACCAAAGAAGTCTATTGTGCAGGGAAAACCTAAGCTGCTAAAACAGTACGCTCTATGACAAGAGCATCAGTAACATCAACTGCCATTTACTGAGGACCACTGTACCAGATGTCTCAGTAGGAGCTTACAGCTCACGCAAATACTGGGAACAACTTGAATATTTAAATCTACTCTTTCAACTCTTAACTTTGTATGATCTGAACACAAGTCAAGTATATCTCAGAAAATTACAGTCTAATGAGTTTAGAACACTTTAAATGTAGAAAGTGATGTAAAATATCTCAAGTTTTTAATATTCTTTATATGCTTAAATATTTTCCATACATATATGATCTACACATTCCACTGGATGGCCCTGGTTGAGACTGTTCCTGAGCATACGAAGGGAAGAAAAAGGAAATATTTTATTCAGTCAACCCTTGAGCTTCCCTTGATGGGTACTGCAGAAGTCTAAAGCTCTGGGCCTGCCTCCTTTAAGTTCTTTTTTTTTTTTTTTAAAGATTTTTATTTTATTTTTTTTTTCCTTTTTCTCCCCAAAGCCCCCTGGTACATAGTTGTGTATTCTTCGTTGTGGGTTCCTCTAGTTGTAGCATGTGGGACGCTGCCTCAGTGTGGTCTGATGAGCAGTGCCATGTCTGCGCCCAGGATTCGAACCGACGAAACACTGGGCCGCCTGCAGTGGAGCGCGCGAACTTAACCACTCGGCCACGGGGCCAGCCCCCTTAAAGCTCCTTTATTCTGTCAGTAAATAGTGAAGTTATGTCCCTGTCTAGTCACTCAGTTGAGAGCAGTAACATGTACAAAAACATGTCACAGGGGTTCAAGATCCAACATTGATACACTAAAGTAATAACTGATAGACCAACTCAAAAGTGATAGAGGAAAATAAGCAGGTAAGAAAATAAAGGGTGTCTTACACACACACACACACACAAATCCATATACAGAAAGCAGTATTTTCTGTTGGTTCCTGAACAAGAAAATGGAAGAAAAGGGAAATAATCATTACATCTTTCACACCTGACCCTAAAAGATTAGAAAAAGTACATCAATCTTTATACAAAAGAACTCGGAAACATTAAAGTACTGGGAAGTCCTCACAGGTCTTGGTTAGAAACACTCCAAATACGTATGTGCTCCATCCTGGCCTTGGGAATGGGCAACGCTACATCATAGCTTGCCCAACATTTTTATACTTTATGAGTCTTTTCAGACAACCACCTTTCCATTTTACTTATCAGTTTCATTTTCCACTCAATTGGATTTCAAATTTATTCATTTCTTCCACAGACTAACTTCATGTTTCTTAAACTGTCTTTTAATATTTTTCATTTGAAGGTTAACTTCTTTTTGTTAAAATTCAATAACCTTTGGAGTGATATCAGCATCATGGCAATTGAATTCTTCCGTTGGTTTCTTGCTCTAAGTTGAAACCAGTAGGACATCCATAGACCAACAAAGGACTCTGCACAGCACGCCAGAAGACCCGAGTAATCGATACATCTACACATCCGAAGGTGGGTTGACGCACGTTCCTGGATGTGGTGGAACCAGGGGAGCAGAGGTGGCAGCTCCTGAGACTGTAAGTTCCAGGATCTGTGGCTACACCTGCAACCAGAGGCTCCAAGAACTGAGGTAACACACATGACTGGAAGCCCAGGAATCCAGGAGCCATGCTACTGTAGCTGCCAGCAATCCCTGCAGGCCTTGACTGGAGCCTCTGAGAACTGCAGTGACACCTGTAACCCGGCCCCCTCCCTCTCCCTTGGTGGCCACACCTCCAACACTGGCCCTTCCACCAGCAGGGGCTGCACCCAAGACCCAGATAACCCTGGTAGTGACAGTGGTGCCCGTGACCAGACACTGCAAGTGACACAGCAGCACTCATGGCTCAGCCCCTCTGCATCCTCAAGCACTGGCAGTTGGTACGTATGACCTGAGGTTTCAGAGTCACAGTGGTGCCCATGACCCAGCCCTTGGTGGCACTGCCCCTGATACCAGCCCTGCCAGCAGCAGGTGCTGCATACAACACCCCAGGTCCCTGGTAGCAGTGGCGGTGCATGTGACCCCAAGTTCCAGGAACCACAAGGTGTCAGAGACTAGAACTTAGGGAGCCCCAGTGGCACTGGTGACCCAGGTACTCCTCCCAGTGTGGTGGTGAGAGTGTCATTCATGAACCTGGGCAACCCAGAAGCAGCTACAACACTTGCAAATCTAGCACCCCCAGGAGTATTGTTGCCAACACCCCCAAATAACCCAGGAGCAGCAAAACAGGGGTTGCACAGGACAGCAGCATTCCAAGCTGTGGAGAGCCAGCAACACTGAAAATGGGCCCAATGACTCCAGTCCTCCCTAGAATTGCACCTGCAACTTCCACCCCTCCCCCCCCCCACCTATAGCAGCAACACCTGCAGACCCAACAAATCAGACGAGGTGAAGGTGCTCACGACCCCAGCTACTGCCCAACTCTCCCTGTGTACCCTACTGTAGTGAGGGAACCTATAACCCAGGCAACCCCAGAAGCAGAAGAGGTTCTCGTAGGCTGGTGACAATGGGGGTGACATTGTATGCAGCAAGGTACCAGCAACCTCAGAGGCACAAAAAACACAACGAAGGTACTGACATCTCCTCTGGGACAGACAGTGGAGGGTGGAACGCTCAAGCTCACAAATACAACAGGAAGCTGCTCAGAATCAAAATAAACAAAGCCTTACCAAAATAAGAAAAGCGTTTCCTACCCCAAATGCACTGACAGAGAAGTGCCATGAAGAACAACAGTAACTCAGTATCATAAAAAGAAAATGACGTTTCTCCAGAAACCAAACTTGATGTCATGGAAGACTATGATCTAACTGACAGAGAATGTAACATACCTGTCATGAAGAAACACAACAACTTTTAAGAAAACTCAGGACAGTTCACTGAGCTCAAGGATAAAATTAATGAACAGAAGAAGTACTTCACCAAAGACATTAAAACTCTAAAAGAATAAAAAGAGGAAATCCTGGAGTGGAAGAGCACAATAAATGAGATTAAGAGTAAAGCAGAAAACATTGGAAAGAGAAATCTAGACACGATTCCTGTGGAAAGTAGAGAGAACTAAGATTTCTCAAAAATAGAGAAATGCTATTAGAAATATCCGATTCAATCAGGAAAAGTAACACAAGGATAATGGGTATCTCAAAAGAAGAAGAGAGAGAAACAAGCAGGGAGCTTAGCTAAAGAAATAAGAGCTGAGAACTTCCCAAACCTGGGGAAGGAACTTGATACACAAGGACATGAAGCTAATAGAACACCTAATTCTCTAAATACAAAATGACCTTCTCCAAGGTACATTATATTAAAAGTGTCAAAAGTCAATGACAAAGAAAGAATATTAAGAGTGGCCAGAAAGAAGAAAATGATTTACAGAGAAACCCTCATTAGGCTATCAGTAGATTTCTCAGAAGGAACTTTACAGGCCAGGAGAGAGAGAAATGATATATTCAAAATATTTAAAGATAAATACTGGCAGCCAAGAATACTCTATCTAGCAAAGTTATGCTTCACATATGAAGAAGAAAAAAGGCTATCACCAACAAAAGTTGAGGGAGGTCATCATAACTGGACCTGCCTTACAAGAAATCTTCAAAGGAGCTCTTCTATCTGAAACGAGAAGACAAAGGTATACAAAGCTTTGAGCAATATGATCAGTTTAGACAAAATCGGAAAATTTCAACTCTCTAACAGAATAGGTTACTATGCAATTATAACATAAAGGCTAAGTGGAAAGAAAGCATTAAAAATAACTATAAGCAGTTTACCTCGGTCACTAACTCACATTGCAAAAATGGATAATAAGCATTTCAATTTGGTCACTAACTCAATGCAAAAAGGGATAACTTGTGACAACAAAAATATACAATGGGAAGAGGGAAAAGAGGGAACCTGCAGAGGCAAATGGAGATAAGATGCCATCAGCACAAAAAGGACTCTCTCATCTATGAAATCTTTTATACAAACCTCATGGTAACAGCAAAACAAAAATTCAGAGCAGAGTCACAAAACATAAAAAAAACAGGAAACTGAGAAACACATCACAGAAAACCACCAAAATGAAAAGGAAGACAGAAACACAACCAAAAAGAATGGAAATAGAGAAAAACCAGAAAACAAAAGAGAAAATGCCAGTATTAAGCCTTCATACATCAATAATCACCCTAAATATAAATGGATCACATTCACCAATCAAAAGACACACAGAGACTGGATGGATTAAAAAACAAGACCCAGCAATATGCTGCCTCCAGGACACTCATCCCAGCTCTAGAGACAAACGTCAGCAGGAAGTGAAGGGAAGGAAGATGATACTCCAAGCAAATAGCAACCAAAAAAAAGCATGTGTAGCCATATTTTCATCAGACAAAACAGACTTCAAGGCAAAAAAGACAAGAGACAAGGATGGACATTATATAATGATAAAGGAGCCATTTCACCAAGAAGACAGAAATTTAATTAACACATATGCACCTAACATACGGATACCAAAGTATACAAAGCAGCCATTGACAGAGCTAAAGGGACATAATAATAGTAGGGGACTACAATA